AGCCCCTAAACATTGATTGTTTGTGGTAACCAGGTACACATGCTTACATAAAAAAACCTTAATTTTTGAGAAGCAACCAATTAAAAGTTGTACAAAGCATAAATTTATAAGGAACTGGTTATAGAAGTATAACATGGCATGCCTTATAAAATCTCCCAGGATGCTAAGGATGCTGATGAAGCTTCTTGTTTACATAAGTAAACTGCTGCTGTGTGTTTTAATAAACAAATCCCCTCTCAAGTGTTAGCCACTTACAAATTAATGGTAGCCCCTTTGGAAGCTGAGGTTTGCCCTGCCTTAAAGACAGCTTGAAATATGCATAATAAAACTTGAAGATGAGGAAATCCATGAGAGCACTGAGAAGCAGGGTGTAGAGGCAACATTTAGAACGGCATCATTCTGTTATGCAGGACATGCTTCTGGGATGACACCTGTTAAGCTCTTTGATGTCATATGCCAGCTCAAGATTTATATCCATGCAATAATTCCTGTGACACCATGGTCTCACATTTCACTTCTTTTAAAGGCAGCTGTTACAGCACATTTCTTTCTATATTGGCTTCTGTGCATATGATTCTGTTTAGTTATGAAGTGCAGAATCCTGAAGTCATCTCAATTATAAGCATACTTGCTGACTTGATGATGACATCATTTGTGTTTAAAAATGGACATTTGCTTGTCTCTTCAGGATTCTGATGTTTCTTGGAATGATTTAATTCAGAAACTGACTGATTACTACTCAAAATAGCCTCATAGGGAACAGATTATGCTGGTGTATAGCAAGATTGACTTGCATCTCTATGTCCCAAAAAGAAGCAGATGAGGTCTTTGCCAAGAGATGCATCTGAAATTCCCTCAGAAGCACTGCTGCTCAGGCTTGAGCCTTGTCTACAGTGACACAGATAGAGAGATATGGCTGAATCACCTCTGCAGTCAGTAACATGGCCTCAGTGTAAGGCGAATTGGTTAGATTTCCAAACCTTCACATAAACCATCACACCCATGAATCAAGGCAGACAAAGCAACTAGGGTGAGTAGGCATAGATTAGAATGTCAAATTATTATACCAGAATGCCCCAAGGATTGTTCCCAAACTCCATGAAAACTCAGTTGAATAAGATTCAAAATATCTAGGATGGTTATAAATCTATACTATTTTTTTTTCAAATCTGTCCTACTACCTCTATTGTAAGCATACACCTGATGACACCCAACCACAGTCAGTCTCCTCTGCTGGTCTTCACCACTGCCATCCATTTCTCTCAAATTCTTTTTTTATTTAAATTATTTAATTACTACTCATATTTACATACCCATCCCCCCATTCCCTCACACTCCCAACCTCCAATGTTCCCCACCAACCCCCCAATCCATCTCCCAACTCCTCCCCAGGGATAGTGAAGCCCTCCACCAGGGAACTTCAAAGTCTGTCATATCATTTGGGGGAGGGTCTAGGGCCTCCTTGCTGTATCTGGGCTGCAATAGTAACCCCCCATAGGGAATGGGTTCTCAAAGTCCATTTGTGCTCTAGGGTTAAAGACTGGCTCCACTGTTAGAGGTCCCATGCACTATCTTGGCCTCCTCGCTGGCACCCACATTCAGGGGCCTTGCTTTGGTACAATGCTGTTTGTGCAGCTTTATGAGTAGGGTCTCTATCCTCTCACTAGGTTAGGTCAACTGTTTCTGCAGGTTTCTGCAGCACCATCTTGGCTTCGTTGCTCATCCCTCCTCCCTCTTGTCATCTGGATTCCAGGAGTATTCAGTGCTTAGTTGTGGGTGCCTGTTTCTGCTTCAAACAGCTACTGGATGTAGGCTCTAGGAATGGTAACCAAGGTAGACATCAATTTCATTATAAGGGAAGGACATCAATGGTATCCTCTCCACCACTGCCTAGATTCTTAGTTGGGGTCATCCCTGTGGATCCCCTAACGTTTCCCCTGTGCCAGACCTCTCTCGAAACCTGTACTGTCTCCCTCTATCAAGGCATCTCCTTTTTTACCTTCCTCTATTCCTCCCCTGTCTCAATCCTCTTGTTCTCCTCCCCTCTCCCCTTATTCCCTTCCCACCTCCTTCCTCTCCCCACCCAGTGCTCACACTTTGCTCAAGGATTCTGAGATACCATCTTACTCCTGTCAGAATGGCTAAATTCAATAACACCAATGACAATCTATGCTGGAGAGGATGTGGATAAAGAGGGACTCTCCTCCATTGCTAGTGGGAGTGCAAAATTGTACAACCACTTTGGAAATCAGTATGGTAATTTCTCAGGAAAATGGGATTCAGTCTACCTCAAGATCCAGGAATTCCTTTCCTGGGCATATACCCAAAGAATGCACACTACTACCATAAGGACATATATTCAACTATGTTCATAACAGCATTGTTTGAAATAGTCAGAATATGGAAACAACCTAGATGCACCTCAACTGAAGAATGGATAGAGAAAATATGGTACATTTACACGATGGAGAACTATTCAGCAGAAAAAAAAACAATCTTGAAATTTGCAGGCAAATGGATGGAACTAGAAGAAACCATCCTGAGTGAGGTAACCCAGCCACAAAAAGACAAACATAGTATGTACTCACTCATACATGATTTTTAGACATAGAGCAAAGGATTACCAGTTTACAATCCACACTGCCCTAGGAAACAAGGAGGGCCCCAAGAGAAGATTTCTCTCAAATTCTACACATCCCCACAGCACTTACACCTTTCTACCATTTGACTCCTTTTTTTTCTGATTCAGACTTAATTGCTTAGTCAAAAAATCCTAGGAGATCTGTAACCAAAGTGACTGACATGGTCCTTCAAGGCTATTACTTGGTGAACATGAGTGTGAGGATGCATTTTAATTGTTATGTTTTCAATCTCAACATACCAGATGTGCCAATCAAGAACCTACCAACTCTTGTTCATTCTGTCAGTCTCATCCTGAGTCTTCCTGAGTCACCAGAGAGCCGCAGGCCTCTGCACCTGTGTAGAGAAAGTTCTACTTTCTTTGTCGACTGTTCTCATTCTGTTGTAGGATTCTTTTGTAGCAAGGGTCTTCATTTCAAAAGGAAAGACATTCACCTAGAGCAAGCTATATTACAGAAAATATCTTATAATTCTCTGAAAATGTGTATTTTTCTAGGATTTTTTAACATGTACATTTTCAAGCTGAGCATGATGTCTGCAACTCACCTGTAACTCAACACTGAAAAGGCTAAAGCAAGAACAACCCAAATGTGAGGCCCAGGTCAATCTGGCCTGCACAATGAATTTGTCTCAACATTTGAAACATAGGTGTATTTTGAAGAGATAAGTGGAGATGATGGTCTTGTTGATTAAAATTGAACTTTTAAATATGTATTACATATAAAAAATTCCTGTCAATTACCAGTGGGAAGTTCTTTGTTTTAAGGGATATTGTGCAACAGTGATCTTAAAAACACATCCAACTCCCATGTAAATTTAAACTACTGTTGTTTGTCCTTCACTTGTAGTGCAACCAGTGAATTGAAAAGTAGATCCAGGCAAGAGAAACAAAGTATTCTGTCAGAGTGGTTTTCTCCCTTAGGATCAGGGCAATGCAACCTGTCACTGACTTCTCAGTTAATTGCAGCATGTTTGAACTTCTTGCTGGGCTCACACTATGTCTTCTAGTGTTCTGTGTTGTTGGAAATGTATACCTGGTGCATGAGTGTGCTCTCTGTTCAAACTATTCCTAATATATAATTTCCTTATCCAGTGTTCTTTCAATAAAGGTACCTAGGCCTTTGAGAACATCTTTACAGAATGATTCAAATTAAGGTGTGGAATATTTGTTTATTTATTAAAATATAATAAAATTAATGGCCCTGGTTTCTCTAGTTGATATGATGAAATCGTTGCCTATTTTGCTAGTAAAATAGAATATTTAACTTGAATGTACAATGGGAAGTAATGGGTAACCCAAAAGAAATAGTCCTTCAGTTAGATTTTTTAAGTAATCCTATAAATTTTTGTTCTGCAAAACTTTGGGATTTAATAATCCCCTTGTTTACCTATGTAACATTGCAGCAAAGGCTTTTATCTTCTCACTGAACATTAATAAATAAGTATTTCATAACAGATGACTTTCTGTCTCAATTAATGTATCTCCTGAAAATTCTTAAAAACAGTTTTAAGAAAATATGCCAGGGGAAGTGCTGCATGTCTATAAATCCCAGCACTGGGGAGGCAGAAGCAGGAAAGTCTCAAGTTTCAAACTAGCCAAACCTATGTAAATGGCGGTGTCTAGGCAAATGCTCCTTGTGATAAATAGCAGCCTTAGGAAATACAGATTGGCTCTTAAAAGGAATCTCAGAAACCACAGAGAAAGAACTGCATTGATCTCATTAGATATTTAAGAGCCACAGAGCTTCCTCATCATAAGTATTATGCTGGAGAGAAACACCATTCTGCACTCTCTGAGGAGGCCCTGGTAGGAAGCAAAAGGGAAGAAAGAATCAGGAAATCCCCCCTGCTTCTCCATGTCCCATTTGGACTTCTGCCCCAGGTTTGCTTTTGAGTTTTAAGTTCAGCCTCCTGACTGCACACATTCTTGATTAGGTGACTCCTTCTTGCAAACCCAATGAGTGGCCATCAGTCACATTGCAGTAAGAGAAAACATGTTTTATGAACAGAGAAAGCAAGAATGACTCTGCTAGAGCCTTTGTTAGTTCTTCTTGGGAGCCCAGTATCTCTTTGACCAGAACAAAGGCAATGCAAGTATAAATTCTTACACCCCACACTCCAAAAAGAAAATGTTGTTGTGTTAATATCCAGCTTCATAAGAGAAGCAACTGGATATTTCTTCCTTCTGCCTCTTGGAATTGAATACCCGTTGCTTTCCACGCATCATTCTAAGACAGCCCTGGCCAGCATTAGCTTGAATGGTACCTGTTATTGAAAGAGAGTCTGTATTTGCAGTAATACAGAGAATGCCAGTTTAGAAATGAGCCTGATTGCATGGTTCATTGTGTTCTCCTTTGTAGAGCCAGGCTGCGGCCCACTACAAAGGCACGAAACATGCCAAGAAGCTCAAAGCACTGGAAGCCATGAAAAATAAGCAGAAATCTGTCACTGCCAAGGACAGCGCAAAGACTACCTTCACCTCCATCACTACCAATACCATGACCACCAGCTCTGACAAAACAGGTTAAGCAATGATCTTTGTTGTTGTCCTTCTCATTGTGTGGGGGTTCCCTACTTTGTTAACCCCATGTATGTTTAAGTATGTGCCCACTACATTGAGTCACACTGGAATCCATTTATCTGTATTATGGTAATTGTTCCCTATGATCTTCCACAACCCTTAAGATGATCACTGGTTTTGCAATGGATTTTTTATACTACAGTCTTATGGTTGTTATACATTCCCTGGAAGCCACATTCCCTACTTTTTGAGAAGTGAATTTTGTGTATGTCCTCAACAACTTCTGCACAATACTTACAATATAACTGCATGGCTGATTTGATCTAGCTGTGAATACACAAGCTAAATCTATTGAGTGGACAGAGAAGATTTGGATGGAAGCACTACTAGCCGTAGTCTTTATTTGCATAAATTCTAGGCACTGCATTGCTTAAACTGTGGCTATGTGATTGGGCTCCTTATGGCTGGGTAAACTTCCTTCTGAATGTTCAGGTAAGTGTTATTGATGCCACTTTTTTTCTTTTTAGTGGTCTTCCTGGGAAAACTATGGCCTTCTGAATGGCCCCTGGGTTACTGTGCATATGACCAGCTGTTCACAGCTAAAAAGCTAGTGGGTTTCCCTAAACCTGAATTTGAAACGTGAGAGCACTGGTCCTTGGAGTTTACTGAACAGGTAGTCCTACATAATTTGGGGACAGAGTGGTAATAAACTGTTTTCCAGAGTATAAAATTTAGAAAACAGGCTAGTGATGTCAGTTGCCTTCCAGAGTGTACACACGGTATGGAGGAGAAGGATGTGCTTATAACCTCACTTCTAAGGATGTCTTGATAGTAAGGGAACCTTTTGTGTATACAGATAAGAATATAGAATGCTTAGCAGGAACATGAGTTCAAGCGTCTGTAAATTTTATCCTTGGGGCACATATACAATACTGCTGTGATCTATGACTATGGATACTGCTGTATAAATACAAAAGGAACTGTGCATTTTCATATCACACTGAGTGTTTCAGACTAAGCTGCTATTGACTGGTATCTCGCACCCTCCCTAGGAGTCTGTGAGCATCCCAAGGCTGAGGCTGCAAGCATCCTTCACCTCTGTGCCAGCACCTGGTCTCTTAGGCTGTAGATTCTAAGTGATCATTTTTGTGACACACTAATAGGTTCCATTTGCTGCCACCAAATGAGCAGGTTGTTATTGTTGGTGCTTATCATATACACTTCTTTGGTATCTAGCACAAGAGTGAGGTTCTGCCATTTTAATATAAATGCAGAAAGTCCTGGTAAAAACAGTTGCTTCTTCTCTCTGGATGAAAGCTTTACTGTCTGATTTTAGTGGCTGTCCAGGAATGTGCCATGGTAAGAAAGCTGATGAACATGGTTTCTGTTGTCAAATAGAGGTAAAAGGATGGGTATTCCCAAAGTCACTCTTGTCACAGAGAAGGAACAGATAATTTTCTAATGCAGAGAAGATAGTGGCTGGGAGAAGGAGGTGAGTGTGTTATCAAAGGTTAGAGTTCTATTTCTAATTACCCCAATTTTCATGCACTAACATTGAAAAAATCCATAATAGTTTTTTTGATTGAGCTGTCTTTTAAAAAATATTTTACGTTTTAACTGTGTGTGTGTGTGTGTGTGTGTGTGTGTGTGTGTGTGTGTGTGTGTATTCTGTGGATATGTGCATATGTATAAGTACCCAAGGAATAAAGAAGAGATGTCTTAGTTCTGTTGCTAAGAAGAGACACCATGACCCGAACAACACTTATAAAGGAAAGCATTTAATTGGTCCTTGTTTATGGTTTCAGCGTTTTAGTCCATTATCAACATGTAGAGAGCATTACAGCCTGCAGGCAGACATGTTGCTGGAGAAGTAGCTGTGAGCTCTGTACTGGATCTGCAGGCCGCAGGAATTGAGAGATTTTGGACTTAGATTTGGCTTTCTGACACCTCAAAGCCCACCTCCAGTGATGCACTTACTTCAACAAAGCCATATCTCCTAATTCTTTCAAATGATACGAAATTAGACTTAGAAATAGTTTTCTAGAACAGTTAGATACTTGCCAGAAGGAAAGGAAGATGGGATGTAACAACCAAAAATTATGTGTGTTAAGAATTAGAAATCAGAATCCTGCTGTGTCCTGCACAAGAATATTTGTGATCTGACATATTGTCTATGTATAAAATATTTAAGTACATTAAAATATTTTTCTGATTCTACTAAGTCATTTCAATAAAAATAATCCAATTATTTGAATACATATTAAAATTATGAAAGAAGGAACAAACTTACCAAAATTGGAAACAAAAACTTAGTTGTTTAAAAATGCTGAGGCCACTAGGAGAGCAGGGACAGAAAAAAGAACAAGAGTCTGGGGAGAAGGAGCAGGGGAGCAGCAGGGAGAGGGGCAGGTGTGGGGGAGCAGCAGGGAGAGGGGAGGTGTGGGGAGCAGGGGAGCAGGGCATGCAGAGGGGCAGGTGTGGGGGAGCAGCAGGGAGAGGGGCAGGTATGGGGAGCAGGGGAGCAGGGAAGGAAAAGGGGGCAGGTTTGGGGGAGCAGCAAGGAGAGGGGAGATGGTGTGGGACTGGATCTGAAGGCAGACTCGGTGATTTTCTTGAAAATATAGAATGTGAAGCAAAGAAAGACTGGCAAGATAGCTGAGCAAATAAAAGCACTTGCCGCCAAGCCTAATGGCCACAGTTTGATCACCAGAACACATATGATGAAAGAAGGGAAGCATGACCACCACCAGTTGTCCTCTGACTTCCAAACATACTGTGGTTTTA